TTCCTCAGCCAGCAAAGCTGGCTGAGGAATTCTGGGAGTTGAAGTCCACAAGTCTTAAAGTTGCCAAGGTTGGAGACCCCTGCTTCAGTCTATTTACGGCCATTTGCATTGGCTCGCAGTCATGTGACCTCGATTTAAGACACCCCCCCTCCCAGAAACCGGGTATTTAATTTCAATTTCCCACCCCCCAAAAATGTCCATTGAGTTTGCTTAACAACTGTGGCCTTCACTTTATAACCCATGTGTTTGCTTAAGGGCTGATTCAAAACAGGTGGGGAAAATCGGTCACATGGAGGGCCGCAAAATGGCTGGCTGAGGAACTCTGGGAGTTGAAGTCCACAAGTCTTAAAGTTGCCAAGGTTGGGAACCCCTGGTCTTAAAATGTAAAAAAAGAAAAAGCCATAAATCACCTTTTTTTTAAGTGCTGTTGTAACTTTGAATGGCCACTAAACAAACTCCTGTCGAAGGCTACTTATAATGGCAGAATAAGGAGCAGTGGCCTCTTATTTCTGGTTTCAGCGTTTGAGCAAAACCTCCTCCTTTCTGCCTTAACTCCCACTTTCAAAAATTATATATTGACACAGGAGACCCTGGGAAAGAAAAGTCCATGTCCAAGTGTTGTTTGAGTGGGCTCCACTTTTTTTCTGTCTCCTTTGTGTAAGCGTTCAATTGTTCACCCACCCACGGGCTGCTGAAGCGAGGCGACGAAGAAGAAGAAGAGGGAGGAATATTCCTTCCCAAAAGCATGCTCTCGTCTCAGAAGCCAGGAGTTGGAGTGACTTTGGTTTTCTTTAAAAGAGCGAAGCCATCTAAACCTGAGAAAGGGTCAGAATGAATGTCCAGCACCATTGTTTACCTGCTGTTTCAGCATCCTGACTCTGTTGCTATGGAGACAGTGACCCAAATAAAGCCCCTCCAGTGGCTGAAAGGCCTAATGGGCCTTTTGAGTTGCCTGGGAGGGGAATCTCACATGACAGACCAGGCCCTGGGGAAGAAAGCGGCCTGGTTTTAATTTAGTTATCCAGGATATCCAGGAGGGGAAGCGGCCAGCCAAGATCGGCTTGTGAAGCTGGCAAGGACGGGAGCCAAAAGCAAAAAAAAAAAATTCAATTTTTGTAACTCTCCTCCAGCAGTTGATGCATGGAGTCTCCTCAACTTACAATCACCATTGGAGCCAGAATTTCTGTTACTAATGAGTCACGCCCAATTTGATGTCCTTTTTTTTTTTTTTTGGCCAAGGTGGTTAAGCAAATCACTGCAGTTGTTAAGTGAATTACACAGTGGTTAAGCAGATCTAATTTCCCCAATTGTTGTTGGAAGGAGAAAACGAATTTTGATCATGCGACTGTGGTCATAAGTGTGAGGACTAGCTATAAGTCACTTTCTTCAGTGCCCTTGTAACTTTGAATGGTCACTAAACGAATGGTTGTAAGAAGAGGACAACAAGTAGTTAGAGGAAGGGCGTTTTGTACTTTTTATTTATTTTGCTTGTTATTTATTTAGCTGTTGCTACACTCCACATGGGTTAGCTGTGGGCTTCTTCCCTGGAGATCAGCCTTACTAAACTAGGATTATTCCTGTGTCTTGTGGCAAGGAGTTCCACTGAGTGCTTTTGCACTGGGTAGACAAGTCCCAAGCTTAAGCAATGTAGCTAACCGCTTCTTTCCTCCAGCAATTTTAAATAGCTGCCTGCATACAGGGCAAGGCAGTGTGCATAGGGGAAGAATTCTCAAGGAAGACCAGACAGAAAATACGACCAGGATAAGCTAATTCTCTTTTATTGAATCATTAACAGAATCTTTGCACATCTGAAAGTACAATTTTCCCTCCGTCTCCTTTACAACCTGAAAAACTAACCTTTCCGAGTTTCTTTCTCTGCCCTAAAATGATACAGCGGCGCGCTAAACCCTCTCTTATTTGACCACCCCCCTAGGCAGCATCTCTTCACCCTGCCTCGCAGGCCATTGACACAAGGTGTAGCCTTTTGAAGTTTTGCAACCTTTCTAAACCGCATCGTTCGTCTGCTCGCCTTTGAGTCGTATCTGGGATCAGGACAGTTAGGAAAAGTGAGCTTTTCAATAAAAAAAAAGAATATTTGGAGCTCAGGGTTGAAATGAGGAGTCCTTGGTGCTCTCATTTCATTAGCCAAATTAGGTAGCATCATCAGTGCGTCAAAGTGATGTTTACTGGAAGATCAGGCCAACAGCTAACCTACGTGGCTGGGTTGATGTGAGAACAAAAGTTTAGAACTGACAAGAGAAGTATTTCATATCTTCTCCCCTCCAAAGGACACCTGGAAGACACCTGGAGTACAGGAAGAAAAAAAAAATATTTTTTTCCTGTGGGTGGTTTCTATTCCTTGGGCAATGAGAGAGGATGACTGAAATCAAGAATATTTTGTGGCCTTATTTTACTTTCTGATGTGAACCACGTGGTGAATGAACTTGGTCCGGCCTGGGGGAATGCACCATTGAGGCACCAGAAAGGCAACGCTGGGAACAAGTCACCCCGGATCAGGTCTAGCTAGGAGCTGACACTACGTTGATGACACATGTAGGAAGTCCTCAACTTATAAACACAGTTAGAACCACATTGCTAAGCAAAGCAATTCTTAAGTGAGCCACCTCCGATTTTTTTAACAACTTCTTTTGCCACAGCTGTTAAATGAATCACACCGTCATTAAACAAATCCAGCTTCCCTCATTAACTTTGTCAGAAGCCGGCTGGGAAGGTCGCAAACGGTGATCATGTCTCACACACACACACACACACACACCTACACCACAACCCCAGGATGTTTCAACTCTCAGAAATACAGACTGGTTGCCCAGTACCCAAATTCTAATAGTGTGGCCCTGTTATGATGGTCGTAAGTATGAATCAAGTCATAAGTCAAAGAAGTGCCGTTGTAATTTTGAAGGGACACTATAAACAAATGGTTGTAAGTCAAGGACTAAGTGTAGTCAATAATAATTATTTTTTTTGTCAGTCCTGTGGGTACAAGGTGAAAAGAACAGTGAGTGAGCAACCGGATTTCATCTCAACTCTTCCTTTAACAGCCTTCGTTTCTCTGTGTCCTCCTGCTTTTAGGTGACCGCTTGCGGCAGACGGAGAACCGCGCCACCCGTTGCAAAGTGGAACGCCTGCAGCTTTTGATGCAGCAAAAAAGGCTGCGCCGGAAGGCGAGGCGGGACGCCCGAGCCCCTTACCACTGGCTGCCCAATCGAAAGTCCAGCCGCACCAGCAGCAACAGCAGCGTTTCCAGTGAAGGCAGCCTTGATCTGGACTTCGAAGATTCAGTTTGGAAACCCGAAGTCAAAGCGGACATGAAATCCGAATTTGTCGTAGCATAAAAAATAATAAACCTTGGGTAGGGGGAAATGGCATCTTTTCGGGGTGGGCAGGGTGGGGCGCAAGGGAGCGTTGGGAAAAAAAAAAAAAGAACTGAAAGACCATTTAGTAATAATTATTATTAATAATAATAATAATAATACATTTTTGGGGTCCGTGAGAGCAAAGTTTTTGGGTGCTTGATTCTAACACAAGACTGGATTGATGTGGATTGCGTTGAGTGGACCTCGTCTTCAGCTGCACCGAAATGGATCAGCCCAGCCTTGGAACAGTATTTTCTATTTTCAACAACAACAACAACAAAAAAAACACTGTTCTGCTTTTATTTTAAGAACTGAAACAGCTTGGGGGGGGCGGGCAAAGCAGGCAAATGAGAGACAAAATTCGGAAAGCAAAATGGCAAACACACTTTTGGGTGGGTGGGGGGGGGGGGCTGACTTTGATTTCAGAGAGAAGAATCTTCAATGGCTGCCTTAGGAAAAAAAAAAAAACGTGTAGAGGGAAAAGCCGAACCCGATCATCGATTGAACGGAAAGAGAAAGAGAGAGAGAGAGAGACGAAGACTTTAACCTCCTGGCTTCCTAATTTTATTTTATCACTGGGGATCGGAGGGCCAAAGCGGAAGAGGCGAACCCACCAACAGTTTGCGTGGGCTGAAAAGCTGCTTCCTCCCCCACCCAAGCATTGACAAAGGGGTGTGTGTGTGCGTTTGAAACTGGAGGCAGGGTTGTCTCTGAACGCTTCCTCCTTTTTTTAAAAAGAAAAAAATAATTATTATTTTTTATTTGGGTGACTTTTGTGTAACGGGAAGCGCTGTGCATTCTTCAGACTTAAGGGAGGGCCCCAACGGAGGGTGGGTGGGTCAAAAAAGAAAAAAAAAAGAAAGAAATGAGGGTGTATGCTTGGGGTGTGTATGTGTGCGTGCGTGTCTATCTGTGTGTGTCTCTTTCCCTTCCTGGATATGTAGCATTTCTGAGTTATTCTTGACTTGTCCAATCTCCCCTTAAGACCCCACTGCTCTCCCCTACTCACTTCCAAGGAGAATAAACCTGGGAGAACGAGACCCCCCCAAATTTGGGGGAGTTGTGTGTTCTCAATCGATGGAGGAGTGAGAGGGAATATGGAGTGGGGGACCCAGGGTAAAGGAATACTGTATGCCTTCTGTTTGAGGGCTTCCTCTCTTCACGTCGTACAACATGAATGCAAGATACTGCAGGGTTTTTTTTTCTGTGCATTAAATGTAAGAGGGGATCTGATCTCGCCTGGTTTGTTTTTTTTTTTGCTTTGTTTTAAAGAACCAACAAAGTATGTTACGAGCTAGGCTGACGGGGAGTAAGATTTAAAACCTACCATTGGACAGCTAGAAAGGTGGTTTTTTTTAAAAAAAAAAAGTTTGTGCTAATTCTGTTTTTGCCCAACTGCACACAAAATTCATCCCTTGGTTCTCCCTGTGGCAGAATTCTCACCTGGTCCCCTTTTGGGTTTACCTCATCCACGTTGGGTAGCTGCTGAGAGGGTTTTCAGCGCCTCTTTTTAGCCCCTACAAAATGGCCTGCAATCTTTGATCCTGCCTCCCATGTCCTCCATGAGAAGAGCCAGGCTTTCTGTCCATGCTCAGAGGCCATTTTGCCACGGCATGTACACACAGAAGCCCAAACTACACCCTCTGGTTACAGAGACCAAGTCCTTGTTCTCATCCACTTAAAAAAAATGGGTTTATGTGTTGTTTTAATTAAGGGACGCAAAAGTAATCTCTGGAAATTTAAATGCTAGGATGTTGGGTTTTTTAGTTGCTGATTGACAATGATCTGAGCCAGTAGTTTTTCATAAAGCAGTAGAAATTAGTTCTCATTCTTCTTTGCAGACCTAGCAACCACAAGTACGTTTGTGGATATGTGTGTGTTTGTGTATGTGTGAGATGTTTTGAGTTTCAAGGAAAAAACTGTGTGGAGAATAACTTGGGATCATGCATAGATCCAGCTTTTGAAATTTTGAAATCTCTATGAAAACCTAACAAGGAGGGTCCATGTGAATATAAACACATGTTTATTAAAAAAAAAAAATCACAGCTGTCCCTGAAAATGAGGCCAGAGGTTGTAACAGTGACTCATAGCTGGATCTTTTGACAAATCATTTTTGACGACTACATTTCCCATGAATTTCTTTCTAGGTTCCCCAACCTACAGTAAACTTAGATTTATGAGAAGAGAAGGCTACAATAACTTTGTCTCTCTAAGAGCAAGTAGGCAATTCCTGACTCGCTCACCCTTCTTGAGATGCTGGATTGCGTTTTTCACAACTGATCAGGGATGAAGCTAGTACAAGTTTTCCATTGCCCCTTTCCTTTAAACTTCTAAGCCATTTTTGGTCCGTCCATCCATCCATCTAGGCTGAAGAGAAAGATGAGAATTCATTTTCCAACGCATATTTTTGCCACTTAAAAAGGTAAAAAGTTGGAAAGTGTCTGTCTCTCCTTCAGCCTTCTGTTTCATTTTGAGTTTTCATTAGGTTGTTCAAGTGGATTTTGCAGATATTAAAACACGGGAAAGCCACAACTGGGGGGAAAAAAATAAAAGGCAAGGTTCTGTTTCATTTTATCATTTTTCTCTTGATTATCCGCCATTTCCCATCTCTTTAGGCAAACCTTTTCCATAGTTCAGGTAATCGGAGAGATGTTGTGGTACAGTAGAAAAAAGACACGCATCTCCATCCATAGCTAGCTAGCTTCATCCTCAGCCTGTAACACTACTAAGTACCCAAGGTTAATTCCCCACTCCCTTTTAAAAAAAGGATAACCCAAACCAGGATAAATCTCTGAAGCAAATGCCATTTAAAAAAAAAAAAAGTTTTCCTATCAGTTACTCCATTATCTTCCCTCTCGTGTCTTCTCTTTAGTTTGTGCCAAATTTGCACCTGCTCTTGAAATAAACTTTTTCAGTGGTTTGGTGCCTTAAAGCGTGGCTGAGACCAAGAGGCATTCTCAAAAGAAAAGTCCTTGAGAGGTTGAAGCTGGGAATATTCTCAGTTTTCCCCTTTTTGAGGGGGAAAAATGCACAAAACTTTTTGTAGCTCAGTGGAAATATATCTTGCCTGTTCAAACTATGTGCCGTTCTGTGTCCGTTAACTTCTCGTTTTCCTCCATCTGTTAACTATGGAGATTTGTGATTAGACACTAGTCAACTCTTCTGGCTAGCTAAGAAATTTATAAAAAGTTTGATTAAACTTGGTTTTCAGTTCACCACTCAACTTGGGGTAGGGGGGGGAGGAATAGGGTCTTCTAAGAGCGGGGCAAACTTTGCATTGGAGTTTGGGTACGATTTGGCAGCATTTCATGCTTAGAAGTCAGGTTGAAGATACAGCCGCCTCTCCTTTGTAGTTGTAACTTCCAAATGACTCCATTTATATTTCTCTCTGTTGGTCGCCCCAACCTTGTGTTTAGCAAAAATCCAGGGTAACCCCTTCATCTCATGTTTTGCTTGTATTTTAAGACAAGTGCCCAACTCTTCACCTTCCCCGTCCTCAGGCCACCCAAAATTTGCATCCCTTTCTGGAACTTTCTTGCCAACTAAGGGAAGTGGGCAACCACGCCCCCTCTGGTCAAATTGTGTCATTACACTTCCTCTTTTCTTTCCCCTAGATGTGAAATTTCCTTTGTATGTGATGCTGTAGCGGGATTTTTTTAAAAAGGTTTTTAAAATGTTTTTTTTTAAAGTGTGTATTTAAATGTACTACTTTTTTGTATGGTGTGTGAGTGTATATTATCCTTACTTCCTGCCCCTCCCTAATTCATCCATTTTTTTTTCCATTTGTCACCTCGGGGGATTAGCTTTCTTTCACCCCACGCTGAACGTTTAGGTAACAGCAAAAATGAATCTCAGAAGCATTATTTAAAAATAAATAAATAAAGGTCCTCCTGTATGTGTGATTTGAAAGAATGTTTGGGGGGGCGCAAGGGGAAAACGCATAGACTTGTTTTATCACCTCATTTAAGTTACCTGTATTAAAAAAAAAACTTTTAAAATGGTTTAAAAAATAATAAACACAAAATAAAGATTGCTTGAGCCACACATGGGTTGTAGCCTAAATGATTCTCTTCCATTTTGGAATCAAACTCTGAAAGCGAAGGAAAAACCATTTTTAACTCCAGTTGTTTTTCTGTGGCTTGGTTTGTTCACAAACATGCAAACATAAGCGTGTTTGAGGCAACTGTGCCTCATTTCCAATTTTCTCCCCAAGGCTCTGCTTATGATAAGGAAAGCATATGTGATCTGGAAACAAATTTCCTTTTCTACAGGTTTCCCCCTGATGATTCAGCTAGTAACGATGTATGTTTGTTTTTTATTTCTTTACATCCCACCGTTATTATTTTTATAAATAACTCAAGGTGGTGAAAATAACCTTCAATTTTCCCCACAACAGTCCTTTGAGATGAATTGGGTTGAGAGAAAACGATGGTACAGTTACTCAGCTTGGTTTTGTTCCTAAGGTGGGACTTCTTGTAGTTGCGAAGTCTTGTCCAACCCATCGCGACCCCATGGACAACGTTCCTCCAGGCCTTCCTGTCCTCTACCATCTTCTGGAGTCCATTTAAGCTCACGGCGACTGCTTCAGTGACTCCCTCCAGCCACCTCATTCTCTGCCGTCCCCTTCTTCTTCTATTGCCCTCAATCGTTCCCAGCCTTAGACTCTTCTCCAGGGAGTCCTTCCTTCTCATTAGGTGGCCAAAGTCTTTGAGTTTCAACTTCAGGATCTGGCCTTCTAAAGAGCAGTCAGGGTTGATCTCCTCTGGGACTGATCGGTTTGATCGCCTTGCAGTCCAAGGGACTCGTAGGAGTCTTCTCCAGCACCAGAGTTCAAAGGCCTCCATTCTTTGGTGCTCAGCCTTATGGTCCGACTAGGTGGGAGCAGAACTCACCATCTCTTAGTGATTGGCCCAAAGATACCCAGCCGGCTATCATGCCTAAGACAGGACTAGAACTCATCACCTCCTAGTTTCTAACCTGGATTGGAGCCTTAGACATCGGACCAAACTAACTCTAATTTCCAATATATTTGTAATTTCCAACTAATGTTGGAAATGGGAGCATTGGATTTTGGCTTGGACTCAAAATGGAAGTCTGTGATTCATTCTTGCACTTGATCCGCTGAAATTAAAGCCCCTCTTGGGATCTTCCTTGAAGCCAAGTTAATATACTTTCCACCGGTCCTCACATTGCGCTTAATATTGTGTTGTCAATACTACAGTATCCTATTTGGATGAGCAAAATTGTTGCTCTTACATTGTTTATGTGGGGTAATTCCAGGGCAGCAACTGATGGATTCCTGCCCATCCTTTCCCTCCGGGTCCACGTTAGCCACCAGTAGCCCAAGCTGGCTCCAGAATCTCTGGTGGGTCTTTAAGACTTGTGGACTTCAACTCCCAGAATTCTCCAGCCAGCTAGGCTGGCTGGAGAATTCTGGGAGTTGAAGTCCACAAGTTTTAAAGTTGCCAAGTTTGGAAACCTCTGCCATAATTAGTCATTGATTGATCTGGCCTTAATTTTCCTTCTTGACCACATCCTCCTGATGGAACTATCGGTTCTCTAGGAGAATGATAGACTTACTGAGAAAAATCCCGAGCATCAAAGAAAGGATGCTTCAGAAAAATAGCATGGAACCTGCTAGCAGTCACCGTACCATGGGCCAAGTGGTTTCTTCTTGCAGCAGACAAAGGTGATGATTTCAGAAAAAAATACGTTCCCCTGTTGTCCTTTTCTAGATATCAGTGTCTTCTATTCAACTGACCACTCTGCTGGAGAAATAGCTGCCTGCTGCTACTTCCTTCTTTTTCTCCATTAGAACCAACGGTGACAGGCACACTACTGGAAAGTGATAGTTGCCCTGGACTACCTCCTCCTCCTCCTCCTCTCTTCTGTTTCCTTCTTCTCCTCCCCCACTTTTTCTCTTTCGCTTCCTCCTGTTTTTCTTCCTCCTCCTCCCGCTCCTCTTTCTCCTTCTACTCTGATTCCTTCTCCTCCCTCTCTTTTCCTTTTTCTCCTCCCCTTTTCCTCCTCCTTTTCCTCTTCCTCCCCCCTTTCCCTTTCCTTCTCCTCCCCCTTCTTTTCCCCTCCCCCTCTCCTTTTTCTTCTTGTCCTCCTCCTCTTCCTCCTCCCCCCTTCCTTTTCCTTCTCCCCTCTTCCTCCTCCCTCTCTTCCTCTTTATCCTTCTGCTAGGTTTCTTTCTTCCTCTCCTTTTTCTCCTCCCCTCTTCCTCCTCCCACCTCCTCTCCCTTTCCTTCTCTTCCCTCTCCTTCTCCTTCTCCTCCTCCCCTTCTCTTTCTCCCCCTCCACTCCTTTTCCTCCTCCTCTTCTTTTTCTCTTTCTGCTCCTCTCCTTTTCCTTCTCTTCCTCCCCTTCCTCCTCCTTTTCTCTTTCTCCTTCTTCCCCCTTCCTCCTCCTCCTCCCTCCCCTCTTCTGCATTTTTCCTTTTATGACGCTGCCACATAAGGCCTTTCCCCCCCTCCCCCCCGTAACCTTTGCATTTCACAACTCTTTCCACAACTCTGGCTTCCCCCTCGGACTTTATGCTCTGGGACTGTCTCTCTACCATTCCGGAGGGAGAGTGGAAATGAGGCAAGCTCAATTAAAACCAGGGGAAAGGAGACTTCTGTTGCAAGCGGTTTCCTAGAGACATTAGCCGTTAGTTCTTCCTAGAATGAAATCTTCTGGATGCTCCCCACCCCTCAAAGGATGGTGTGATAGCACCCCCAGTTAAAAATTAAAAAAATAAAAGAGCAAATACCCAGAAAAATTATGGGGCAGAGCCATTTAGATCTGTGGCAGGGTAAGATAGCTGTAGAAGGTGATGAAGCCCAGTCTCCTCTTTCGGTTCAAAGTTCAACTCTGGGCTCTTTCTCAAATGCAGGTTTCTAGTCCTTAATGTTTTTCCAACTACTAAGCTGGAATAATTTTAGGTTAAGATGTCAGCTGCCCCTGGGACCGTTTTAGTTTTCCTGGAAAGGCCTGTTTACATATTAACATGGCAAGTCCCTGGAAGCTGGACCTCTGATCTGCTTGGTTCCACCTCTTGGGTGAAAACCTTTGCATCCCCCCAAAAGGAGAATATTTGCAGTACAATGTTGAAATGAGAGGGTCCTTTCAGCCTGGTTGTTTGCTTGCAGATGTTTCACAACCCAAACTAGGTAACATCATCAGTTACTAACCCTGACGATGTTACCTAGTTTGGGTCGTGAAACGTCTGCAAGAAAAAAAAAATCTATGGAGAATCTTGGTTTTTTTTCTTTGAAGACGTTTCACTTCTCATCCAAGAAGCTTCTTCAGCTCTTGACTGGATGGTGGGGAATGGAAGGATTTCTGGAGAAAAAAAATGCAGATTACAGGAACATTTGCACCACTCAGGCAACCCTAAGGACACAGATAAACCTCCAAGTGGCCTCAACGGCTCTCTGAAAGGATGCAAACAACCAGCTGTCTGCAAGGAATATAAATCCTTCCATTCCCCACTGAAGAAACATCTTGGATGAGAAGCGGAACGCCTTCGAAGAAAAAACAAGAAAAGTCCAGTTGCCACCTGAAAAAGCACCTTTGGGTCTCCAAGAAAAAAACTGTGCTCAGAGATCAACAAGGACCCCTCACCTCTGCAGTCTCCTCTACACAAAGTGAAGAAGAAGAAGAAGAAGAAGAAGAAGAAGAAGAGGAGGAAGAGGAGGAGGAGGAGGAGGAGGAGGAGGAGGAGGAGAAGGAGAAGGAGGAGGAGAAGAAGAAGAAGAAGAAGAAGAAGAAGAAGAAGAAGAAG